TAGAAAAGCTCGACGAAGTTTGAAGTCTCAATTCTCGGCGATTTCGACGGTGACTCGCTAATCTCGATGGTGAGAGTCATTGGCACCTCGAGGTGAACAACATACTGCAAAGCCAGTTTTATCAAACGGCTAAATAGAATGTGAGAAGAGGATTTTCTTTCGTTGAATTCAATGTAGATTTATGCTAATTGGCTCACCGTTTGGAGATTTGATACCATATCCATGTTCAGAAGACCTTGACGATTCAATTGATATATTTTAGATGTGGTTTATGAACGATGATGGTTGTGGTCAGTGATCGACCATCGAACTCGATGATTATAGCCCCGACGAGGATGTAGAGAATCTCGATGAGGTATTTTGGCTGAGAGAAATAAAATGAAATTTAAAAGAAATAAATGGCTTATATAGGGGACCAAAATGTTTGGTTTTGGTCCCTATAGATGATGCTTAAAATGCATTCATTTTGGCTTGGAGCAACCTGACTCGCATGCAACTCAACCCGACCACTAGAATCCGTGTTTTTTTAATATATTTTAGGGGTAATTATACTTTTGGCTCCTCCTCTTTTGAAATATAATTCAATATAGTCCTAAATGTATTAATTATATGTTTTTTATTCCATTTTAGCCCTAATATTTTATTCGATCAATTTAGTCCCTAGAATTCATTAATTGAATATTAATGAATTATTTCATCGTTGAGGAAAATTAATTGGGGACATGTTCTTATTGTGGAACATCAGTGCTCGTGGAGAAAAGTGTTAGAAGCTTCAGATTAAAGTCGCTAAGCCTGAATTCAAGAAATTAAGATAAGTATCCCTCGAACTTTGAAGTGATCCATGATTTTCATAATTATGATATTGTATCCGTCATGTGTGAACTTTTGAATATGAATTGCGATAGGATAAAATTATCAAATTACCCTTAGTTGAGAATAATGCTTAATAATATTCCAAAACGCATATAAAAGCATAATGCTTTAAGAAATATCATAATACTTTAGTGATTGTCCATTAATATTTAATGAAAGATCGAAATACTCTTGGGTGGGTAAAATGATCAAAATGCCATTCTCATAATAAAGTGCTAAAAAAGATCTAAGAGTATATAGAAAAATATATGAAGACACTTATAAATAATTAAATAACCTTCCATGAAATTTAATAAGCCTAACATATTGTGGGTTTGGTAAGTTACCAAAATATTCTTAGAGGGTCAAATTTATTGATTGTCATTGTGAGCTTATGTGAGTGGAATAAATTGTATTAGTGAAAAGATTAAGTTTTTTAAATATAAAAAAATAAAAATACTCTTGTATATAAGAAAATGACTAAAATGCTTTTTTAAGTCAAATAACCAATACACCCACAAGTGTTAAACTACTTAATTATGTAAAGCTTTAAAATGCCATAAAGGCTAAAATATCAAAGTACTATTGTTATAATATAAAGAATAAAGGATGTAAACTAGATAATTCCCAAAATAACATTGTGACTAAAAAATAGTTAAAAGACCCATTAGAGGGAAAATTAATTAAAACGCCCTTATGTACTAAAATCATCAATAGTATGGTTGATGAGATAATAAATATGAAATGTCTAATAGTACTTGAATATAATTAAAGATGATCCGAAAGTCCCTACATATGTTAAAAAATTAACATATTCCTGAACAATAAAAATTAAAAAAAAAATACTCTAATAGATAATGAATGAATTTATAAGAGTTAAGAATGGCTAAAAATATGTTAGAATGCATTAAATAATGTTGTAATGCATTTATATGTTGCACAATGACTTGTGAGGCTTGTGGTAAGTCATTCCGCATGTGTGATCCCTATTTAGCTAAGTTAAGAATATTTATATTATTGTGACATTGTAAACAATGAGAATCAATATATATATATATATATATATATATATATCGTGATATAAATTGTCCAAGTAATTTTATAAGAGCGTTAGGATATAGTTGGTATGTTAAAAGAGTAGTAATTGCACTCTTACACTTCAATACATTACATGGTACTTAGGTGCATTACATAACATTTAGATATATTATGTTATTTCGATGCATTGTGTAACACTTCGGAGTATTATGAACATTGATTTTATTCTATCAACTCGTAAACCATAAGTTAATTTTTCTACGTTACTTCCAATACTATGGTGATAATTACATCATCTATGTATTGTAAGCATGACATGATAATTATTTATATCTTTAACATGACATTTATATGTGTTGCTTTATATATTATAATGAAAGCATGATTTACCTATCACCCTCCATGATAATGTTCATGATTAAGAATGAGTGTGACCATGCCATGATAATGTTCATGATTAAGAATGAGTGTGACCATGTAGATTAGAAAAATTATAATCTTTGTGCACAATAAACTTAAGAAGACTCCTAATTTAAATTGCGAATAAATTAATATTATAGCATGATATTTTCATATAGTGTAACAAATCACTACGTGTGATAAATTTACATAAGTAACTCAAGATTATAAAAGTTGACGATTAATGGCTCTAAGTTCATAACTGTTATCATGCTTCTTTTTATTATGTTTATGAAATATAATGGAGTCAAGGAGTAAATGTGTATTCAATGAGTTTGTTAACTCATACTTTAAATTATTACATCCACATGTTATAAATTTTATAGGTCACGATGGAACAATGATATTATCGGAGGAGTCTCAATGAGAATATTAGAGTACGATGACGAGGACTGATGAGAATGTAAAGATTGTAATTTTATTTGAGTATGTTGTAAATTATTTATTTACGTATTTTGGTTTTTAAACGAAGAAGCTTTGGTTTTGTAAATGTTTATGTTTTTTTTTCCTTATCCATATTATTACTTTTAAATTTTCAAGTAAGTCATATTTTCCGAGTTTGCAAATTGTGGGATAATTTCAGTGATTTTAATGTGACATCTGTGATTCAGATTCGATTTTTTGATCGGGTTTAGAGTGTTATATTAAAATTTATAAATTTTAAAGATATGATAAGTTTTAATATTATACAATCTCTTTGTCTCACTAAATTTGTATATTTTACTTTTTAAAATTGTCTCATTGAAAATGTCCTATTAGAAAAGTCAACAAACAATAACATTTATATTTTCTTTTTTAACCTATATATGTCTAATTTTTTTTTACACTTATCAAAAAAAATTTATCAAATCTACCAACTATACTTAACAAATGGTCAAACATATTTCCTAAAACTTTGTATTTAGTTAATATGGGACAAAAATAATGAGACTGATGGAGTATATTTTTATATGTATGGGTGTTATATAATTATATAATATTTTATATTTTATTATGTATATAAAGAAATAGTTACTGATTAAAAATAAAACAAAACAATTATGATTTTAAAAAATATGGAATTTATATTTATAATTTTTTTATTATAATTTTATGTATTTATAATATTAAAATAAATTAACATAAAATCAATACTAGTTTTTAGAAATGACGATGAAACTTCAGTCCAAATAAATTATGAAGTAAATTAATTATCAATCATAAAATAATGTATTTTATAGTTTTGGACGATGAGACTGATTTTTGTGATTACTATGATCAAATCACAGGAGCTGAAATTTTAAGATAAATAAAATATTGCGTATTTGTTACTAATGAAATATATAATGAAAATATATAAAAGAGTTTATGATATTTTTAGTTTAAATATTAAAATATTAAAAATTATAAAATAATATTATAATTTATAAATATTAAAATTTTATAATTAATATTATAAATATAACAAAAATTATAACATAACATTTTATAATCATTAATATTTATAAATAAAGTTGTGACAAATTTAAATATTATATATATTTCATATGTGTAAATATTTTATAATTATGTAATATTATATTTTATTATGTACGTAGAGAAATAGTTATTAATTATAAAAAGGTAAAACAATTAAGATTTTACAAATTTTAAATTAAAATTTAGAATTTGAATTTACTGCGTTTTTATAATACTTATAATGCTACAATGAATTAATATTAAAGCTAGTTTTTGAAAACGAAAAGGAAACTTTAATCTAATTCTAATATAAAATAAATTAATTCTCGATCGTAATTTAGACTCAAATTCTAGGAGTTTAAATTTGTAATATAATTTTTCTTTATAAAAACATTGAGCACTTATCGAAAGTATCCAACAAAATATATAACAGAAATATATAAAAGAATGAATAATATTGTTAGTTTAAAGATTAAAAATTTATAAAATGATATTATAGTTATATATATATTAAAAATTTAAAATTAACATTATAAACATAACAGAAAAACATAACATAACAATATTATAAACAAATATTTTATGCATTTTATTATGATAAAAATTTTTGTTTTCAATATTTATATATTTAAAAGAATTTTAGTGATAAATTTATTATTATGGTTTAGTTTTAAAGATGTTTAAGGGTTCTAGACTTGAATTGTAGAGTTTGATATTTTTTTCAGTAAATAGATATCAATTTTACATTCGAAAAGCTAAAAAAGATATGAGCTGGGGTCCAATAGTCGGTGACGATGGTCGATGTCGACCACCGATGATAGTGGTGAGTGGTGTTCGGTAATTAGAGACTCTAGTTGGATTCAGGGTTAATTTGATATTTCATCTAAATTTTAAGGATCAAAAATGATATTTCATCTAAACATTAAGATCAAATTAATCTAAAGTTCAATAATCAAATGAAAAATTAACATTTTTCACTATCATGCCATATCATTAAATTAATGATTGAAATATAATGATTGATTACATAAATAATTAAAATTTAATAAGTAGATAATAAAAAAAATTAAAACGTAACTGATTTAAATTTAATAAAGAAAAACGTATAAACATAAAAGTAGAGTGATCAATCCAAATTCGCATTATTAAATATGGGTTTAAATGTAAATTAGAAACAGATCATATGACTTCCTTTTTATCACTTTCTTTAACGAAGGGTGGATATAAAAGATTCTCTGTTTGACACGGCGCAACTTGAGAAAAATCATTCTCTCTCATAAAACTGAAATCACAAACCAAAAAAGAAATACCAAAAAAAAGCAGAAATGGCGGCGTAGGGGCCAGGTCTGCCGATGAGAAGTGAGGTTATTCAGCTTTACCGTTCGCTGCTGCGAGTGGGCCGTCAGTTCAGCGACTACAACATCAGGGAGTACTCAAAACGTCGAACCATGGACGCCTTTCGAGACAAGAAGAACTTAACCGACCCTCGTCGTCCGCCGCTTTCTCCGATGGTAAAGCTCAGCTGGAGGTGGCCAAGAAACAAGCCCTCGTTTATTCCCTCTATGCTCCAAAGGTCAAAAGCATCCTCGATTTTTAAACCCTCTTTTATTTATAGTTCATATACACAGAATAGAATACTATTACTTTTAAAAGAATAAGGAGTGGAAAATTGGATGAAAATATTGAGTTTATGGTTATGTTTATGGGATCAATGGCATGTGGGATGATTTGTAAGCAGATTAGACTGATGTTTCGTTTCTGCAGTTTCATATAGAAAAAAAAATAAAATTGATTATGATTCATCTTCTTATATTTGTGTGCTTTTACCCTTCTGGAAGAATGAACATACCTTCTATTGCTCGAGTTAATCATTTATTACCTTTTGAGCCTAAGCAACGTAATATTAAAAGTGATCTGATATTCCGATGGTAAAGGCCTAGATTTATGAATTAGTATATAAATATGGTGATGGTAGCACACAAATGATATTAGAATCAACTAAGATGCTAATTTCTTCTTTGCCAAAGGTTCGGTTCGCTTGAGAACAGGGCCATTAGAATCAAGGGAAGCTACAACATGCACACTAGCAGTAAGCGCCTTCAGTGTACCCCGTTAGATTTACCATAAAAATCTTCATGTAGCTCATTACAATGAAGACCAACCTAAGTTTCTACCATATATGGTTTTACTGGGTTTAACAGCAACATTATTTTCTTTATAAAAAAGGGGTCATTCAAGTATCAGAAAAGTACAAAGAAAGATGCAACGATAACTATTAAAGAGGTGTAGATTGAATCATACAGGAGGGGGATTCATTTTGGAGACTTCAAGATAGTGTTCTTTGAGGGAACGGACCAATAGACAATCAACGGCCACTGCCGCTGATACCGCCTACCAGTGACTGCACCTCTTGTTGCTATCAGCGGTCACCAGTACTAATGTGAACCTGGATTTTATGATTTTTTAAATTCTCTTATAAACCTTTTACTATAAATGAAAGGATAAAGTACCTATTTAATCATGCACCTATCATTTTGCCTATTTTGATAATTTTAATTTTTTTTTTAAATTATATTTAACATTACGGTTTGTTTTTGTTTTGATCACCTGTTAATGAGAGACTAATGTGATATTGATATATATATATATGAAAATGAGTATATGAGCTTAGGACCCTAATGAGTGACCTTAGTGACATAAGGATATTATCATTGGCTTTAGTGGCTTAAGCATAAATGTTTGTGTGGTCTTAGTGGCGTAAGCACAAGTTCTTATGCCTTAGTGACGATTACTATATTATGCATATTCAATATATCGAAACGCAGTTATAGTGGCAATTGAATGTTACCTCTGTGCGGCTTTAGTTGTGATCAGAAAAACAATATGTACACTTGATATTGTATTTATGCAACCTTATTGATGAGATGATAAAATATAGATGTATACTGTTACGCTCTTAGTGACAAGATCTTTATGAACATTTGAGACCATACTATATATATTCGATGCTCAATGAGATCAAGAGATTATATGATATCTGTTTATTACTTGTTGGTTATTTGTGATGATAGTTCATGACTAGACAGTTGCGAACTCGCGCAAGCTAAGACTTGTATTGATGATGATGAGCATGTCATGCTTTAGATTTATGAATCATGCATACATCTATTACTCATCGTGAAGCTTAACATTTAAATGTTTTTTTCGCATGTTAGTAGACTTGATCTATTTGTGGATCACCGTCATTCGTAAGATTCTAATATTCGTTCTTTAGGGTAAATTACTAAGTACTATAGTGGATACGAGTATCTATATGACTCTTACTTAGTAATTGGTTTATAAACCTTTAACTATTTTGAGATTTAGTTTGTAAACTATTATCAACGTGCTTATTCGATTTTATAAATATATTTAAAGACTTTAAGTATCTTGATGGATTTAATTTATGACATATGAAATGTTTAGAAATATTTTTATCCATAAATAAAATTAAATACATTTAATTTCAATATAATTTCATAAGTAATGCACATGATTACAAATTTAAATATCTTGATGGATTTTAGATATGTTATTTTTATAATTGCAAATACTTATCTTTAAAAATACCACTTAATTATATAGTTTTATTAAAATATATAATAGGCTTAGTAAATGATTTAAATCTTAAAATATATCTTTGAATTTATTTAATTTAAAAGTAAGTGCAAAAAAATTACAAAAATATTTTCAACTTGATTGATTGGTATTGATTTTGATTGAAGAAATTGATTAAGAACAATAATAAAATCAATGATGAAGATAAGGGCGTTTTCACCGAAATATCACCATTTCTAAAATATTACTGATCTAGCACTCTTTCTGATACGATGGTAATAAAGTGTGGATCGCTATCCGTGCCTTCGCGGGGTTCTGTCCTAGCTGGCACCACATAAAGGGAAGGCGCGGATCGCCATCCGCACCTTCGTGGTGTTCTAACACGTACGGAAGGCGCGGATATGCCGTTAAATTATTAGTACTCCATTATTATCCTGAGCCTGAAAACTTGGCTTTTAAACGCTCCCCCTCTCCAATAAATAACAACTCCTCTGAATGCAAACATCACCACATCAGGATTACTTGCTTATTCTCACTTGTATCAATTCCTTTTATCAAGCTAAATAGATTTTGTTATTGTTTTTATAAGGTAAAATTGTTTTTTTATTATATTATATTTATTTTATATTTAATTATTTGAACAAATTTTATTGTACTAATTATTTTATATTATTTTTTGCGGTTGTAAAATTGGAAAGTGGGTTCATGCCCTCGAGACATTTTGCCGATACGATAACAATATGAAATTGTATTATTTAAATTATTGAGAAAATATTTAAATATTTTTGGACTGGTTTATATTTTAATTCATATACTATTTATTTCATTAGATGTATTTCAAATATTGTTTTTGCAGATATAAGACTCTCAATCTTTCAAACTCTAAAAATGACGATATTTCAGCTATTGTTTACTATGATGGAGAAATTTGAGAAGATAAAACCGGCGTTGTCTTCGCATCAAATCATTCTGTCATAATATCCTTCAAGAGAAACATCACTCTTGAGGAGCTGATCACTAAAATTTCAAGGAAGATTCATGTTGGAAGTACTAGAAGATTGTCCTCACTTCAGTACAGATTTCCAACCGCAATATTTTTGTTAACTTATACAGTGACCGAACTCTCCAATGATGACGATATCGCTATGATGGTTGATTCTCAGAATCAATATTCAAAAGCCGATACACAGATGTATACGACATTTGTTGAAGTGTCTATGGTTTGTGGTATGTTATTATGCTCCCACTATTGGATGACTTAACAAGTTGATCAAGTTGACAGCCTAACTCAAGTAATGTGTAATGATTTTAACTCACTAATGGAAAATACACATCATGGTGCTATTCTATCATGTTCAATGGGGAGACATTCATCAGCAACTTGTTACGATCTGTACCGACGTGGCTGCACAAACAATCCATATGGCAACATCATTTCTAGTTCAAGGGGAAGGCATTCATCTACCAATTTCTTTGACCTGAATATGGAGATGCCCTCGATGCCACAATCTATGCATTACCCATTTGACACGATGCCATCAAATTTCAGGGGGAGGCATTCAACTGTGAGCTTCTTCGACCTCAATGTCGAGATGTCTTCAAGTTCAAGGGGAAGACATTCAACTACCAGCTTGTTCGACCTAAATATCGACATCGTGGAGGAACCCTTATCTCCACTAGAATAACCTCTTCATGAGCCATGTGAGGATAGTGCTGAGACTGGACTATTCGTTCAGCCAGAATCACCGCAGTTCAACATGGACTCTAATGATGATGTAGATGAAGTTTCCACAAATATAGTACACACCAAACATCGGTACTGTATCCGACACATTACTGGTAACTACCATGGAAAGTTCAAGAAAAATGATGAGCGCTGATTACTTGTTCGCATAGGTATGTCGAAATGCCTAATTTTATTCCTTAATCATTTTTATTTTTTATGGAAACTTAACAATAAGTTTTACATTTGACGCTCAAGTTACGAACTATTATCTGAAACATTTGAGTCCATGCTTCAAGATTTGCGATGAAAGAACGAGGAATAATACAATTACATCAGTCTCATCAACAAAGAAATGTGTAAAAATGCATATGATGGTGGATTTCGATATGAACACATGATGACCAACTTGGATGATGTTATCAATTTGACCTTAAAGGGGGCACACTATTTACTAGTAACGACATTGGTTAAAATGGCATATCTTCGTTTGGGAGCGCTTTTTGTCAAGCTCGGGGGACAAGCTCAAACTTGGATGCAAAATTGTCATGTCTATCACCCAAGATTAGTTGCAGATCTACAAAAAAGAATTGTTGCATCAAATGAAATGATGTAACAATCTTCTCTAGAACCCATGAATTACTTTGTGTCACAAAGATGCTGTGACCTCTTCAAGAGATTCAAGCTAACTCGTTCAGAGTTAATATACGAGATATGTGGTGTGACTATGGGTTTTTCCAAGCTCTGAATTATACATGCTCCCATGCCATAGCAGCTTGCTTTCATACTCGTCGAGATTATAACCTTTTTTTGGATCTTTTAAACAGACTTTCAGAAGTATTTAAGGTATATGAATTTGAGTTCCCCTCATAGGTAATGAGAAAAACCCTGATAAGGTTCAGAATTGGCTTTCAATTGTACCAGATCCGTCCTTATTAAGGGAGTCTGGTCATCCAAATCCACTCGAATTCATTGTGATATAGATATTCGGGAGACGTTTAGAGAAAACAAAATATGTGGGCATTGTAGAAACCTAGGACACAATAGGAAAAATGTCCATCTCTTTTGTCATCAAGTAACCATTGATGTTGTGATGATGTAATTGTTGTTTATGAAATCTAAGTTTGTGTTATTTAATTTTCATATACTTTCAATTAATGTCATTTGAGTATCACCGAGTAATGGGCTACTCAAGTGAAAATTAAATAAAAACATTACAAACTAAATACAAGAAAACGATATACTTCAAACAATAAAAACAACTAAATAGAAACATTAAATCCAGATGATACAATTTGAACAATTAAATAATAAAAACATTAACAAAATAAATAAATAAAAAGTCCATAATCAAATAAAAACTTTATAATTACTGGTAAACAAACAAAATTAAATAAAAACATTACATACTAAACAACTCTATCGATGTCTGCGTCTTGAATGTGTTCCGCAGAGTGGTGGCTATCTGTGTCGATGAGGATTTATTTGTATAACTTGTTCTTCCTCCTCACTCTCATTATCATCATCATCATCATCATCAAGAGCAGCTACATTTTATTGATGAGGGATAGATGACGATGTAGCACCTCTATAGGATAAGGACCCTGTAAGTGTATGGCTGACTATCCCACCGCTCATAGAAAACTGTGAAAACTATGAAAACACTGACATCGATTAGTGTGAAAACTGCGCCAAAGGTATCTGTGTATATGATGCACCTTCACCCGCCAAATAAGCAACATATCAACCCCACGTTGGTTCTATAAACATGTAAGTATAATATCCGCCAAGAGAGATCATAAAACCATACGACGGTGTCATCTGACCCAGTTACAGTGAAATCTGATATGGAAGTGGTTGCGTATGACCCGGCTGCGGTGCCATCTGATACTACTGCAGTGCCATCTGATACTACTACGGAATGTACACTGGTGTAGATGGTGGCTGCTGTAATGGTCCTGGTGCTACAACCGAGGATGAGCCAGAAGCGCCTACTCCCCGTAATATCTTTGTCGGCACCGATGAATGCTCCCGCCTCGTGCTTCATTGTAAAGTATGAACGATTTCCTGTACATGTTGAACCACTCATAATAATCATTCGCAACCGAATAATGATCTATATAA